CCCCAAAACCCCAAAACCCCAAAACCCCAAAACCCCAAAACCCCTTTCCGCCCAAAGAAATTTAAAAGAGGGAGAATATTATTAAATAAAAATTATAAATATGAAACTAATCCTTGTCTTGATCCTGACTGCAGCTCTTGCTGGAGCCCAGGTTTTAGTGGAGAACAATAATTATAAGTGGACTATTGAGTTTGGAAAGTACAGAGATAACGAGAATTACACAGATGTAGAAATTGCTCTGCATGTGCCATCAACCACACAACCAATGACTAATAGTTATTACTCAAGTTTGGCCTGCGTCAATGTAGGAACCACCAACTATCAGCTTTCGACCACTAGTACTGCATTGGAAGGATTTGCTTTTGAATTCCAATGCTCTTCAACCTGCAACAATTTGGATGCTGTCTATAGCACTGCTTCCTACTATGCAGCAAACACAGGCTTTGGACAGACTACAACACATGTTGCAAGTTCTCCTGCTCTTACTGCTATTACTCCCCCTGACCAAGTAGATATTAATAAGGGAGGAAATTATACAAGCAAGGTAGTAAATTATGAGATTACTAAGCTGACTCCAACCTATCTTAAGAATAACTATTTCCTCCCAAATCAGACACAGACTTGGTATGTCAGATGCTTTGGAAGATTTAACAATGCAGCTTCGGCCACTTTCACTGCTGCTATTTCCGATTTACAAACGACTCTTGGCAACGGAAAGAACTTATCGATCAAAGGAAATAGTTATATTGCCACAACCTTCATTGCAACTGCTGGAGCACTGGTTGCTTCTCTCATGTAAGAAGATAATAAGTTGATTCATAAGCAGAACACGAATAAATTAGGCGGTTTTGGTTATCCCTCATTTTCCTTCGTTATTCTATAATTACTAGAGATGGATATTAGCATTACTGGTTAGATGCCAACCTGACTTGGGAAAGAAACAATCCTGATTAAGAGTTTAGATCATTGCATTCTAGGATATTTTAGAACTGGCTGGCACACCAATTTGAAAATAGAAATCAAAAATTTCTTTCTGATGATTCCTCAAGCGTTTATTCTTGATTCTTCAACCTCCTTTGTAATTGAGGGGTTTTGGGGTTTTGGGGTTTTGGGGTTTTGGGGTTTTGGGG